AGCCGAGGCTCCTAGCCTGGTGGTCCCCGGCCTCTCTGCCCCTCGGTCTGAGCCCTTGGCGAGGAGGGGTCAGAAGACCCAGGTCTCACGTCTCATGCTTGGAGACACTGCCCTGTCTGCTCCCGGGACCGCTGAGCCTGTGCTTGCGCTGTGGCCTTGCTGCCTTCTCTGTAGCCCTGTTCTCCCTGCTGTGGCCCAGCTCTCCCTGCCCCACTGGCCCATGCACCCAGCTTGTGACTTTTCCCCCTCTTGTAATAGGGCTGTGATGTTGTGTCTCTGTCTTCATTGATGGAGAAGCTGAGGCAGGACTGGTGGTGTAACCTGCCCAAGGCTGGCCTTCCCATCACATGCTGTGCCACCGCTGCCCCCTGTTGTAGTCAGAGTTGGGCCTGCGGGGCAGAGGATGAGACAGCCCATGCCCCAGGGAGCCCGAGCTGGAGGGCAGACAGTGATGCTAAGCAGCGGTCCAAGCAGGCAGCCTACTCCGGAGAACCCCAGCCCCAGCTCAGCCTCAGCGGAGGGAGCTGTGGTATCAGTCCAGGGCTTATCTTCCCGTCGCTAGGGTGAGTCAGGTTCTGTGGCTGCCCCACTGCCCAGTGCCCTTGGGACCCAGCTCCTAGGAAACCCCTGCACCCCAGCAGGGGAGGTTGTGGAACCTGCCCCCTGCAGGCGCTGTGTGCCCATCTCTGTCTCTCTGACTTCCCTCAGCCCAGGCTCAAGTTAGACCTGGAAAGGCCTGAACTTCCTCCTCTTAGAGCACTGGGGTTCAAGGCCTCTCCCTCCTCCCTCTCTTCCCCCCCCCCCAATACTGGGAGTGAACCCAGGGCCACTCCATCACTGAGCGATGAGCGATATCCCTGGCCTTTTTTATTTCATTTTTTATTTTGAGGCAGAGTCTTGCTAAGTTGCTCAGGCTAGCCTAGAACCTTTGATCCTCCTGTCTCAGCCTCCTGAGCAGCTGGATTACAGGCAAGCGCCATCTCGCACTGCTTCCTTGCTTTCTCACGATTGTTGTACAAAGGGCTGATCCCATGGAAAGGTCAGCTGGCCTCTGGGGCCAGCCTGGTGTGTCTGTCAGGGTGACAGGACAGGTTGCACACCGGAACTCTGCTATGTCCTGGCGGCTCAGGAGTGGGCAAGATTGGGAGGAACAACATCTCTTTGCCAACTGTCCCAGCCTCCCTGCTGCCCCAGGCAGCAGCTCCTAAAACCAGAGGTATGGGCAAGTCTTGTTCCTCCTCCGCCTGCCCCTGAGGGCAGTAGCCTGAGCACCCTCCAGATAGGTACACACAAGGCCCTCTCCCTACCTGGTCCTGGCCGGGCCAGCCCTGTGGGGCTCTGCAGTTTCCTCTCGTAGGTCAGTGCCTCCTTTGGTAGCCCCCTGGTCCCCCTGCCAGACACCAAGGATTGGGCTGGAGGGTTGCTTTTTCCCTCACCACGTCTACAGAACACTCAGGCCACAGTGCGACCTTGTCTCTGTCTGCTCCTTTGGGTGTGCTGGAGCCCTCAAGGGCGGGGTTCTTAGTTTCCACATCCCTGCCCTGAGGCAGAGCCTGCATACCAGGGGGTGGGCAGCCAGGGAAGAGAGACCCTTCCTTGACCTGGCATCAGGAGCAGTGGCTTTCTCCCTGCCACCTACCCTGCTGCGTGTCTGGCTTGTAGTTGTGGTCCTACCCCTGGGCAGCAGTGAGGCTTGGTGCTGCCCATCTCGTCTGTGCCCACAGCTGGCGGTCAGCTAGTGACGCCTCATTCGTAACAGGAGGCTGAGGAGCAAGCCCATTATCACACATCTGAGGAGACGGGGGAGGCCTGTCTCAGATGGACAGAGCTCTAGCTGTGCGGTGAAGAAGTGGAATCACCATGAGTCTCACAGGCACTGGAAGGATAATAAGGAGTCTGCACACCTGTAATCCCTGAACTCTGGGCCGCTGAGGGAGCAGGGTTGCAAGTTTGAGCCCAGCCTGAGCAATTTAGCAACTTAGTAAGAGCCTGTATCAGGCCTCTGCAGTGAGGGAATGTTGTGTAAGCCATTTCATGCCAGTAAATTTGTTGACAGGTGAAATGGGCATTCCTTGAAAGACATATATTAGCATTACTGACTCAAGAGGAAAGAAAATCTATATAGTCCTGTATCTGAAATCTTCTCACAAAACTTCAGGCCAGCATAGTTTCGTTGAATTCTCGAACCTTTAAGGAAGAGTTGCTGTCACTCCTGCTCAACTCTCTGATTCTATTTATTTTGGGGCCCTGGGGATTTAACTGGGGTCTAGCATATGCTAGGCATGCCACTGCCACTAAGCTACACCTTCCCTCAGCCTACCCAGTGCTGGGACTATAGGTATATGCTACCACACCTGGCTCTACAACTTTTTTTTTTTTTTTTTTCAGTTCTAGGGATTGAAGCCAGGACCTTCACACTGAGCTACATTCCAGATCTTTATTTTTTTATTTTGATTTAGGGTCTCACTAAGTTTCATAGGCTGGACTTGAACTTTCGATCCCCCTGCCTCAGACTCCAGAGTACTGGAATTACAGGCTTCTGATTATATTTGTAAAAGTGTGTTCCCTGCTAAGAGGATTTCAGACATTAGAAAGCAGTTCAGTCAGGCTGTGTTGGGACAGGCTGCTCCTTCCTGCAGGCTCTCAGGGAGGTGGGGGGCCAGGAGCTGGTGAAGAGAGGCGTAGATAGGTGAGGAGTCAGGGTGATCCAGTCCCAGCTCTGGGCTGGCCCCAAGGTGCTCCAGGAGATGCCGTGCAGAGCGGGACCTGGGAAGGGACCCAAGACCTGGGTGTCAGAGCAGTGGCTCCGGCTGCCCAGAGCAGGGGCCTTCACCTGGGGGTCTTGAGGGGCTAGGAGTTGCCCTTGTCCTGGGGGTGGACACCAGCTAGGGTTTTGAGCAGAGGGCAGTGCTGACTGTGGGTGGAGAGGTGGGGGCATAGGGAGGAAGGAGAGGAGCAAGGGGGGAAATGCAGAGGCAGCTGTGCTGTGGTCTCGGGCTGGCGGGGTGGGGGGCTGGGGGGTAGGGTAGGGGCCAGGCCCAGAGTCAGTTAAGGGTCCCAGGAAGGCCAGGTTTCTTGGATCCTGGGACACGGGGCGCCCAGGGCACAGCCCTCTGTCCAGCTTGGGCTGACTGGGGCCAGGAAGGCGGCTGAGGTCAGAGCCCTTTATAGACAGGTGCTGCTCTCGATAAGAAGGCTGGGCCCAGACCTGACTGACCTGCAGCCAGTGCAGGCAGACAGATCCTGTGACCTTGGCGGGTGCTTTCCTCTTTCCTTTGTCTGCAGCCGTTTCCGGGGTTTGCCGTGGGTTGAACTGAGGATCTGGAGTGAGCAATCCCGAGGCCCCCAGTTCTGGGCTCTGAGTGTCTGGCTAGCCAGGGTCAGCACCCCAGAGACTGCCCTTCTGTGGATGCTCACTGTCCTGTCTGAGTCACCACCTAACAGGAAGCTGAGGACCCTGCCCCCGCCTCTGTGGCTTGCTCTCGACACCTGTGCATCTTGCTTGAGCCCTTGCCAGCTCAGCGTCCTGGGCAGGCGTCTTCCTTAGTCTCTGCCATCCACAGAGCCAGGGCTGCACCCCGCCTGCCAGCTGGCTGGGCTGTTTAAAAAAATGTCGTTTAAATGCTTGAGTATTTTCTCATCCGTTGATGAATAACTTGGACTCCTGGGGGTGGTGGGAGGTGGGGAGTGCCAGTCTGGCTGAGTTGACCTTGCTCAGGGCTGGAAAAGAGCCTGTATTGGCAAAGCCCTCTCCGAAGTTCCGGACCCCCCACCAAGGGTGGGTGTCTCCCCTCCCCTGAGATGCACGTGCCTGGCCTTCAGGGAGCCCGCTGGCTGGCAGGTGGGGGGACTTTGGGGGTGCATGCCTGTGGGCATGTGGGGAGCGCTGACCTGCTTCCTGGTTAGGGATGTGCTTCCTGCTGCTCTCCCTGCCCTCTCTTGCTGTCACCTCTCAGCCTCACAGCTAGGGTGTGTGCGAGGGGCAGGCTAATCTGCAGCAGCAAGATGGGAAGCAAGAGAGCCTGGGACACCTCCTGCTGCAGGTGGAAGCAGGGGGAGTGTCCTGTTGTGCACCTCAGGGCACCCGAGAAAAGCACACCATGCCAAGGTCGGCATGAACACAACTTCTCTAAACTAAAAGGGTGAGGGGAGATGGGGCACACCTGCAGTCCCAGCCATGCAGGAGGCTGAGGCAGGAGGATCACTTGAGCCCACAAGTTAAAGACGAGCTTGGGCAACATAGCAAGATCCCATCTCGAGAAACGTCAAAAACAAAAAGTGGGAGTGGGAGGGACTGGTCTAAAGAACTAGATTTGGAAGAAAATTTTCCCATAGAAACTTCCAAAGAATTCCCTCTGCCTCTCTCCCAGAGTGTATCACAACTCCCATTCTAGTTAGAGACATGGTTCCTAAAGGGAACTAAATAAGCATTTCTGGCTGGGCATGGTGGTGCATGCCTGTAGTCCCAGCACTCAGTAGGCTGAGGCAGGAGGATCATCATGAGTTCAGGGCCAATCTGAGCTACGTGGTGAGTTCCAGGGCAGCCTGAGCAATGTAGAGAGACTCTGTCTCAATCCTTTACCCCCACCCCCACTGACCCATAGGTATTTCTGGAGAGGTCTGTGGCCTGGAGGGGAGGTCAGGAGGCCTGAGCTCTCTTTCAGCCCTGGGTGCTGGCAATAGGTCCCTCCCCATCTTCCCCCACCCAGCAGGTGGCTTCGTCCAGACCCCTGAAGGTGGCTGGCTGCTAACATGGGCCCTGCGGCACTGCCTGCTCCATTTCCCACCACCCAGCCCCTCTGGGCCTGCCTGCTAGTCTCTAAGGGCTGCCCCGTGCTGAGATCCATGGGGGCTCGGGCTGCCCATAGTGGGGTGGGGAGTGTCACACTGTGCGTGCTGGAGCGTGTGGCTCCTGAGTGTCCCATCCTTGTAAGCTCCTTGTGGCATGGCTGGAACTGGTAGCAGCTGTCTGAGTGAGTGGTTTTCTTCTTTTCTTGCAGGACAAGGAAGATGGGGAGCCAAAGATCAAGCAGCTCCGAGAAGAGGAGGAAGAAGGCGAGAAGCACAGGTTGGGCTGCACTCAGTGGCTGTCTGCCCCGCTGCCTTGTCCAGACCCGAACACCACACCCTCCCCTGCATCCTCTCCTTGTTGGCTGTCTGGCTCTTCCTCCTACCACACCTTTCCTCTCGTGTTACGAGTCCCCCACAGAGTTGGGCCCTCTTCTCTCCCATGGGAGAGCACTGCTTAGGTGATGGGCCTCGTCCACCTCTCCAGCCACTTGTGCCTCCTGAGCAGCACTTTGTCCGCTCATCCGAGCCCTCTGCCGCTGTCCTGCTAGAGCTCAGCTCCAAGGCTGCCTCTTAGCTCTCTCTGCCTCCGTTCCCCAGGTAATTCCTTAAGAGCATTGATCTTATTTGCTAAACACTGGCCTGTGGTTGAGTCGCTGCAAGTTGCCCAGCATGGCACATGCGAGGGTCTGGTCACGCTTCCTTCATGGGCCTGGGCAGGAAGTGCCTCTACCCTCAGTCTTCAAGGCTGTAGGGCTACAGAGCTGCTCATTGCTTTGCTTCAAAAATGCCTGTGAGGGCTGGAGTCCATGGCTGAGTGGGTGGTGGAGCACTTGCCTACCATGTGCAAGGTCCTGGGTTTGATCCCCAGCACTGCCAGAAAGGTGTGGGCAAGGAGAAACTACTAGGTAAGGTTGAAATATACAGTGAATGTTTAAATTTTAAAGATGTATCCCCACTAAAAGACACAATGCCTCAAATCCTCCCCAGAATCCTCCCCTTTGCTGCTTTGAACACACTTTTCCATCATTCTTGCCACTTTCTGCAGCAGTTTCTGATGCCTAGTTGTGCTGTTATGGCTGCCTTAATGTCCTGAATTGATTCAGAACATTTCCTTTCCATGGTCATTTTGACTTTTGGGAAGAGCCAAAAGTCACGCAGTGCCAGATCAGTGAATAAGGTGGATGAGGGAGGACACATTGTCATGTTTTTACAAGCTTACCTTTTCCTTGGATGGCACTCAGCAGCAGCATTCACTGATTTTTTATCACACTTCAGAAAGACACTTTTAATTATTTGTTGCTGAAACAAAATACTTGATGCCCAAAGTTAAAAGAGGAAGGGTTTTTTTGCCTCACAGTTTCTAGAGGTTTCAGTCCATAGTCAGCTGGCTCCAACACAGGGTGGCATGGCAGAGGGGGATCGTAGAGGAGAAACAGGTCACAGTGCGCAGAAGATAGCAAAGCAAGCGAGGGACAAGACAAGTCTTTCTCTGTTCCTTATATTGTACCCAGGCTACCAGGATTAGGACAGTGCCAAACCAGTCAGTGGACTGATTTAGTAATCAGTCACCCTTAATTCTAGCCAGTTTCTGGGCTGTCTTTGATTTGCTGGATGATCTTTTATTATTATTATTTTTTAATTTAAAATTTCGGGTACTGAAGATTGAACCCAGGTCCTCTTACATGCCAAGCAAGCCCTCTGCCCCTGAGCTGCATCCCCAGCCCTTGTTATTTTATTTTGAGACAGAGTCTCGCTAAGTTGCCCAGGCTGGCGTCAAGTACTGGGGATCGAACTCTGGTCCTTGTGCTTTCAAGGCAGGCAGTGGAACCACTGAGCTAAATCCCCGGCCCTAGCCTCAAGCTTTTGATCTTCCTGCCCCAGCCTCCCAAGCAGCTGGGGTTACAGGCCTGTGCCACCATCCATGGCCTTGGTGGCCTCTTCTGATCCTTCTCTTTGCTGGGAAAGAGGGGTCCTTGGCTAGTGGCGGGTGGGTCAGACAGTTGATTTGAGTATCGGACCATGTGGGTAGACCTCAGACTCGAGGTGGATTGAAGGGAAAAGCAGGTTTCAGGGTGGAGACCTGTAGGGCAGGAAGGAGGAGCTGTCAGGTTCCCAGGCAGAGCTGTGACATGGGTGTGACTCAGCCCACCGTGCTGGCCTCACTGGGAGGTCGCCAAGTGGGTGTGGTGGCCTTTGCTGGGGAGGCATAGCCTGATGTTGCTCCAGCTCCAGTCCCCTCGTGCACACAGACCTTGCCTGAGACCTGGATGGGCAGGCTGAGCTGTCTCTGATGCCCCAACCCTGGCCCAGGGTTGGGGAGGGCTCTCCCCTCCCTCTCCTCCCCAGTTCCTGTGTGCCCTGGCATCCTATGCTGCCACTGGCTCTGATTGACAACCTCCGGGTGACCCCAGGAACCCTCCAGATCACTTGGCATCCCTTGCAGAGGCCTGGTGGCCTTGTACACATCGCATAGACCCAGAGCTGGTGCCAGATCCATCGACTGGCATAGCTGATTCATCATGCACTTTTTTTACCTTGGGACATGGGGAGATAAATGTTGAGACGATTCCTGGTTCAGCAGTGGGCCCTGAAATATTAGGAACTGCAGAGGGCGCATACTCAGGACTGGAAGTGGCTGTGGGTTGAGGCATTGCCCTGTTAACAGCCCTCTGTTGGGTTGGAGCTGGCAGGTCGGGGGAGAGGGGAGGCCTCCCTGCCTGGCCCTGCTTCCCTGAGGCTCTGGATGCAGGTCTGGGCCAGCAGGAGCAGTGACAGTGGCTCGAGGGGTGGGTGTCTTGTATTACAGAGGAAACCAGGCCATGGTCTTCCTGCTTCAAAGCTGGAAACCTGTTCTCTGGCTCACGTGTGCTTGACTCTCTTGGAGCATGGCCACCCAGCTGAGGCGCAGCCCTGGCCAGGGCCCAAGACTTTCAGTTGCCAGATGCCTGACTTTCACTCCTCTGCAGGCTGGGGCCCGGGGATGGTGTCGTTGCACCTGGGCGTGTGACAGATCCATGACATCAGCTTGATTTGGCATACATTGCTGCACTCCAGGGGTGAGCACCTAGGAGACCACCCTCAAGCCCTGAGTCATCTCAGCCCAGCTCCGGGCCTGGGTGATCTGTCTCGACCAGAGGGGTGGCCATGGCTCTTCTCACAGAGACCTGCAGCGCTGTTTCCTGACCCTGTTCCTCAGAAGCAGGCCTGGGAATGCAGGAGAGTGAATCCCAGAGGATTGGTGTAGGGAGGATGGTAATCTCCCTCACTTGGGATGGGGGATGGCACGTCCCTTCTGTGTAGGAGGAGGGGGCAGGCAGGTACTTTCTGCATGGAAAGAGTCATGACATCCTGTGTTGTGACCTTTGCAACTGGACACCTGGCCTAGAGCCTGAAATTGCCATCTGCCCAGGGGCCAGGCATGGTCCACATTGTAGATGGGGAACTACAGTTTTGGCCAGTGAAGTCACTTGGCTAAAATCTCCCCAGCTCCTGGGAGTGGAGCTGGCAGCAGGATCCTCCCTGCTTCCTCTCTGAGCTGCACGGGGTGGGAACAGTGAGCTCACCCAGCCTCCTGGGTAATCAGTGAGGAAGTGCAGCCATCTCCACTCCAGCCTGTGAGTCCTCCTGACTCTCGGTGGTCCCCACACGGGGAGCACTGTGACCTCTATCCCACTTGGCTGAGGAGAGCGTGTCTTCCCTGGCAGCCTGCTGCAGCCTGGGCAGTTTGGGGCCAGGCCGCCTGGTAAGGTGAGCGCCATCCCCCTCCCGAGTGGCCTGTAGGGGTCGGGGGCGAGGATGGGGGCTGCACAGCCCCTCCCTGTATCAGATGTCCGCCCTGCACGGCCAGTGTGCTGACAAACGCTGCGCTCCGAGCCCTTGGGATTCACGTCGGCACCATGTACCTGTATTTCCCCTATTAAGTTTAAATCGGCATTTAAAGTACATTTGGGTTTTTCTAATTGTAGAAAACAGATTGGGCTCTTCAGAGTCATGAGAGCGGCACAGGCAGACGAGATGGGTGCCCCGCCGGGCCCTTGCCTGACCGTCCTAGCTGGTTCTGACCTTGGGCCCCGTGGCTTGGTGAACTCTGGCAGTGTTGTGGATCTGTGGCGGGGCTTGAAGAGGAACCTTGTTTCTGGACACTGCCTCTTCTGGCTGTAGGTTTTGTGGTTTGCTTGTTTGTTTTCAGTGCTGGACACTGAACCCAAGGCCTCGCCCCTGAGCTCCCCCCTGGCCCGGGCCACCTGTTTTTTAAGGTGAAAGCATAACTGTGTGGTTTCTGTCAAGCTCTTCCTGCCTCCGACACTTTCGACCCACTGTGACTTCGGGGCTAGTGAAGCAGGGAGTAGCAGGGAGAGCTGAGAGGATGGGTATCTGTGGACAGTCCTTAGGAGCTGTTTTCAAGATGATGCTACGGCTGAATGCCGTGGAGGGACAGCGGCCTGACTTCCTCCCCCGCTGCCCAGAGCCCTGGCTGAGCCCCCTGCCCCCAGGTCCCCGGGGAGACTTGGGGTTGGATTCCAGCTCTTGCTCTTCCGTCACCTCGGGCACATCCACGAGTCCTCGGATTGTTTCCACATCTACTAAATCCTAGTTACGGCTGCTGTGTTGAAGGGTGGTTCTGGGGTGAAGGGTGCTGCACAGGAGTCCTGGCCCCTTTCCAAAGCCCTCTGGGGAGGCATTTGCCAGGGTCGCCCACCTCCTGGTGCTGTGATGTGACCCTGTCCTGCGCTTGGCCAGTTCCTGGGCCATGTGCCTGGGCCATGTGCTCCAGGCAGCCTGTGTTCTCTGTGGTTGTCAGAGGACGGGAGGCCCAGGGAGGCTGGGATGGGGATAACAGGGATTTCATTACCCCGTGCTGCCCTCTGACCAGGTGGGCCAGAGCAGCCTTGTGGGGGCAGCTAGAGGACAGCCCCCTCTGCCCACCAGTGGGGAGCCGCCGGGCTCTCTAGAAATTTCCTTACGCCGACACTCTGGGGTCCCAAAGGGAAAAACAAAAGCATCCCCAGGACTCCTGTCCTGTCCTGTGCTTCACCTGTGTTCAGCTGTTGTGCTGCCCTGTCTCCAGCTGGTCTCCTCCTCTGGAAGCCCCAGTGGCATATTCTGGGGTTCTTCGAAGAGCGCCCAGTGGGATCACCTCACTCCCTGCTGGTACTGTACTCCTTACGCTGCCTTACTGTACGCCTTATGCTGTCTCTGTGTGAAATGCTTTGTCTGTCCCTGTTTCCTTACTGTTTCACTGGAATCATCTCCCTGGGGCAGGATCACTGGGTCAAGGGGTTTGGACGAATTAAGAGCCCTGAAAGAACCGTGCACATAAGGCCCTGGCCTAGTCTGGTCTCCTTCGTCCAGGTTTTCCTGGTCCTCTAGGGTCTGGTCCCTGCAGCGACCCAGGAGGCCTTATTATTTGCTGGCTTTGGGACACAGGGAGGGTCTAGATGTGCAGGGCCTAAAGCAAATAGGAATGTTAGAGACAGAAGCCTTCTGAGGCAGGGCTGGGCCTCCCCTGGGTCTGTTTCCATGAGGAGAGCCTCATGCCAGCCCTGGCTCCCTCCTGAGGGGACTGAATGGCCAGGAGGCCTCATCCGCAGCAGCTGGTCAGGGCAGGGGATGAGTGTGGAGTGGCCCCAAGATACAGGGCAAGGCAGCTATGGTGGTGCACGCCTGTCATCCCAGCACTCAGGAGGCAGGGGCAGGAGGATTGCTGAAGAGTTCGCCAGCTTGGGCTACATGGTGAATTGAGGACCAGCCTGAACTACTAGACAGTAAGACCATGTCTTACAAACACAAAACAAAGACTTACGCACAGAAGAGAGGCTGACGCCCGAGGCTACGTCAGGAAGCTTGAGTGGGGTGGGGGCGCAGCAGGGAGGCCCCACGGGCAGCTCTTTCTCTGTGCCCGGCTTGCTAGGGGTGAAATTGGACCAAGGGGATCATGTTGAAGCCCTTGTTTCACAGGCTGGTACAGAACTCTACTTCAGTGTTCACAGAAAGCCTAGCATGCTCTACCCCTTCCCTGCCTGGGAGGGTGTGAAAAACACTCCAAATGGTGATTTCCCTTGAGCCTCCGGGCCCCTGCACCTGGCCAAGGAGGGCCCCGCCATGGTCACCACACCACTCCCGTGCAGGCAGGTCTTTCTGGAGGAGGAAGCAGATAAGGAACTCTCCCCACTTTAGGAGGCTCAGGAGGAGGTGAACGTGGACTTACCCTTTGCTGTGCCATGAAGACCATGGATGTCACTGGAGCGGGCTGCTGTGACCCAGTCCCGCCCCCTGCATCTGCAGGGTGCAAGTCAGGAAGAGCCTGGGAGGGCACCTGGCTGGTGGGCCCCTGGGTCCCTTTCCCCAGACCGAGGCAGGCATGAGCTGAGCACCCAAGCAGGTGCTCCAGAGCTGGCCAGCGGGGCCACAGGACCGGCAGGTGGCACCCTGAGGCAGGTGGGGCCCATGTACACAGAGGAGTGTGCACAGGGGTGCCTGGGTGGAGGAGCCCGCCCACCCACAGTGCTGCCCTGGGAGCCGCAGGTGAGGCCTGAAGGCTGGGAAGGAGAAGCAGGCAGGGCTGTCCCCGAAGCAGCCTGGGGCAGATGGGCCAGGACCCTGTGAAGAAGTTTGGACTTGTTTTGGGGACCTGGTAGGGTCTGCCTTGGGTCAGAGGCAGTAAGGGGGCAGCACGGGGGTGGCCACTGTGGAGAGACAGCAAGGCCCACCTTGACAGTGGAAAGGACTGTGGCCCAAGGTGTCGGGCACCAGAGCAGTGTCCTCGAAGCCTCTGGGCTCACCACACTGCCTCCTTCCCGTAGGTGTCAGAGCAGAAAGACCCAGAAGCATGGCCTGGCCGCTGCTTCCGGCCTGGCCCGAGGCCACCGAGACGTCTGGAGCAAGCCAGATGCAGGTCTGCCTGATCACAGAGCCTGCCGTCATCTGTCCCGGAGTCAGCCTCACTGCTGCCCCTCTGCCTGCTTCCTCTTGGCTGCTTGCTTGGTTGTTCAGTGTAGTAATCAGAATGCTGATTACTTTAGAAACTCTGAAAATTACAGAAAAAAAGTTAAAACATTTCTCCCCTGTCAGTTTTCTGTTACATGTTCAAAACAATCCCTTACAAACTTATTTTCAGTGGTTATATAATGACCTGCCTCATGGGTACATTTAAAAAACTTTTTTATTTATTTGGTTTTTTTTTGGTACCAGGGATTGAACTTGGGACCTTGCATTTGTGAGGCAGACAGAGGAACCACTGAGCTAAATCCCCGGCCCTTATTTTATTTTTTGAGTCAGAGCCTCGCTATGTAGTCCAGGCTGGGCTTGAACTCACTATGTAGTGTAGGCTGGCCTCAAACTCAAACAGGCGGGCTGTGCACAGGGAGAGACTCCTGTACCCCCACACCCTGCTCCCCGCCCTCTCCCCGCCCTTCTCAGCCTGGCAGTGTGTCTTGACGTTCATTCCCAGGAGGGTTGTAGAGCATCTCTGTCGTCCCTCTGTTGGCGAATGACATTTTCTGCCTGGCACACAACCAGAGTTTCCTGGACGTGTCCCCACCCTGGAAGGGGTCTGGCGGCTGTGTCCTTGTGCAGCACCTGTAGGATGGGGAGGCCTGACTGTCTCCTGTACCTTTTGCCTGCAGCTCCTTGAGAGCTTCCTGTCATCCACCCGCAGCATTGGCCCGGGCATAGGTGGGCTGTGGGATTGGATCCTGCTCTATCCCCCTGTCCAGGTCTCTACACCCGCTTCCGGGCAGAGAGCTGCAGAGATGAGTAAGATAAGCCAGGCCCCCCAGCTGGCCCAGTTGCCAGGCTCCCCAGAAGTGAGGCCAGGCTCAGGAGAGAGGACGAAGGGGGCTCTTTGGCAGGCCTCGGCAGCTGCTGACGTAATGTGCAGGAGTGGGGGTGGCCCACTCAAGGGGTGGAGGGGCTTTGGGAGGCCAGGCGTGGACTGTGGGTCCGCCCTGTTCCCACCCGGCAGGTGGATTCCGGGGCTGCTGGGCAGGGAGGTGAGGGCTCTGTCCTCTTCTCTGCTGGTGTCCACACCTCACCCCACACAACCTCGTGACTCACAGGTGGCCTTGATTTCCACATGTGCCTGTGCTGAGGAAGGCGGGATCCCACCTGTGTCTCCAAAGCTCCGAGGGTCCAGGGCTCCAGCACCTCCTCCCTCCACAGCCTCCTCACTGAGGTGGGGGGCAGAGCCAGCGCTGGGCTCCTGTGGCCCCGGGAGGCATCTTCAGCTGCTGGTGGCCACTTCAGCATCCCTGGCTGGCTGGCATGGCTGCCGGACTGGTCTGGCTGGCACTGTGGTCACCGCTACCCAGACAGCAGCCTGGGCCTTTTCTTTCTTATCTCAGTTCTGGTCTTTTGGGTTTCATCATCCCATTTCCTTCTTGTTTATTATATACTCTTTTCCTTTTCTTTTAGTAGTTTCCATAGAGATAACAGCATACATCTTTAACTTATCAAAGTCTAATAAAAAGTAGTAGCACTTTCATGATTTCCCATACAGTTCTAGTCATTTAATTGGTTTTTGTTTTTTTTTTTTTGAGATAGGTCTCTTTATGTGGGTCAGGCTGGCCTTGAACTCATGGTGATCCTATCCTCCTGCTCAACCTCCTGAGTGCTGAGAGTACAGGTGTGCATCACCATACACCAGGTGTGTGGATTTCCTTTTTCCGTTTGGTTGTTTTTGGGTTTCAGAGGGTCTCACTGTGTAGTCCAGGCTGGCCTCGAACTTGGGGCAGTCCTCCTGCCTCAGCCTCCTGAGTGCTGAGATTACGGGTGCATGTCTGGCTCTGTCTTGAATTTCCTGTCCTGAAGGCATGTAAACTAGATTACAATTCTTTCATGGCGTTTTATTTTCTTCGCACATCTTTGAGATGGCATTCCACCGTGTCATGGTTTGCATGTGTTTGGTTTAGAAGTTGGCTGTCAGTCTTAGTTTTTTTTTTCTTTGAAGGTTGAATGGTTTCTCTTCGGGTTTCTGTTTCTCTTTTTCTTTTTTAGTGATTTGGCAGTCACTTGCCTAGGTATGCTTTTCTTTGGGATTCAGTTTTCTTTAATTTATGGTTGTGGTTGATGATTACTTCATTAATTCTGTACGATTCTTTGATTCTGTAAAATTTTCAGTCACTGTCTCTTAAAATATTACTTCTGACACTAATTATGTGTGTGTTGGTCCTTTCATCGTACTCCGTTATGTCTCATAAGGTGTGTATTTTCTAGCTTAATTCTTCTGTGCCTCAGTCTGGATATTTTCTGGCATACTTGATATTCACTGTTCTCTCTTCACCTGTATCTAAACTGCTGTTAAGTCCTTTCACTGAGCTTTAAAATTGGGATATATTTTTCAGCTGTGGAATTTCCATTTAATTAGGGATTTTTGGGGGGGGTTGAGACAGGATTTTGCCATATGGTCCAGGCTGGCCTCAAACTCATAGGAGTCCTCCTGATTCAGCCTCCTGTGTGCTGGGATTACAGGCATGCACCACCATGCCTGGCTCTATTGAATTAGTTTTTACAGTTTCCAGTTCTGCTAAAATTATCTTGTGGTCTACTTTCCTGAACTTTTATTAATTGTGATTGTTTTAAATTTCATTTCTGATGATTCCAGTATGTATATCTCTTGTGAGTGTATTTTTATTTATTTTTCTTATGGTTTTGTTTGAATCCTGGATGTTGTGTATGAAAATTTCTGGAGATAATTCAAGGTTCTGGGTCCTTTACTGTCCTCTGGAAGGAAGCTCACAGCAGAGCCCACTCCTCAGTCACCTCAGCATGTCTCTCTGGTGGTGTGAGGTTGCAGGCAGCCCAGGTCTGGAGCTGCTGCCGGTAAACAGACAGATGGTTCCAGGGGAGAAAGGCCCATGTCACGCATGTATTGTCACACTTCCCTTACCTCTGCTTGGACCCGACCCTTGTTGTCATGGTACTTCTCCAAAGAGATGTTTAAAATACATTGACATCAGGCTTGCTGAGTTGTTTGTGGGGGGGGTTGAGTCTGGGGCCTGTTTTGGAAAGGCCAGGCCCCCAGCAGAGCCCCGTGCTCCTTCTCCTGTGCCTCCTGCCCTTTGGCAGGGTTGGAGGCAGTTAACTGGGCATCCGCTCTCAGGAGAGAGCTTGAACCCAGCTTGATACACGGCCAGGAGCACCCAGCAGAGCCTCTCCTTACAGACAGGGCAACCAAGGCCTAGAACGGCCCATCCCACAGGGGCTGGGACCGGGTGTCCTTGAATGCTGGAGCCAGGCTCAGCCTGGGATGAGCAGGGATTGGGCAGTGGGGCTGCTGTCTCTCCTCTGGCCTGGCCTCCTGCCCTCCCGTTGTGTCCTTCCTGTTTCCAGCGTGGGTGGGCGGAGACCGGGGCTACTCACGGAACCTTGAGCCAGGTTTTTTTCTCACTAATCCCTGGGACTTTCTTCCTACACCCAGTTCCTCTGCCGCTTTCTCCCCACCCTGTTGTGAGCAGGTCATTGCTCCAGATTACTCTTTTCTCACCGTGTGCCCCAGTGTCCGGCTGCTCGCCCCAGGCCTGCAGCAGGCATTAAGGGGTGGGGACACTGGACCCCACCCAGAGGGTCAGCTGGGCCCTGAGGGCAGGGGGCGCTGGCGTGGTGGTGCGTGAGCTGGGGCCACTGCCACTGGTCACAAGCTGTGTGGTCGAAGCCCCCTGCCTCCCTCTGGAAAGGCTCATCCCGTTGGCTCCTGGCCACTCCCCACAGTCGTGTGGTGGGGTCGTCCTCGGGTGTGCTGTGCTCCTGGCCCTGTCTGGCCCTCCTCTCGGCATCCTTCCATGCCCCTGCCAGCTGTAGGAGCCCCCACCTGCGCCTGTCCTGGCGTCACTCCACCTCACACACCTCACACACCTTTGACTGTGCACGGCCAGACCTTTTCCACTCGCAGCTGAGGGACTGCGATGAGCAGGGGCTGTGAGCACCGGCTTCCGGTGCAGGAGTAGCTCAGCCGGGTCTCGCACAGACGGTCCCTGCTGAGACCTCGGTTCCCCTGACTGTTGGGTGAAGTGGTGCAGGAGAGACGAGTGGGTGCTGTACCCGGGGCCCTGGCACGGCTCAGGGAGCAGCCGAACTCTTGCAGCACAGGCAGGGCCCTTGGGGAGCAGTGGGCCTGGCCCTGAGTGGCTGGTGAGGATGGAGGCTTGTCCCCATGGTGCTTCTGCTCTTCGCTGTCCCTCAGAACTGGCCATCTCCAGAGAGGCCAGTGGGGAGCCAGGAAGTGGCCTGCCTGGGCGGGCCTGGGGTGAGTGAGGCTGTCCTGCAGGTGACTCATCTCTGCCGTGCTCTCTGTTGTCACAGGGAACTCAGGCTGCGGAACTATGTCCCGGAGGATGAGGACCTGAAGAGGAGGAGGGTACCCCAGGCCAAACCAGTTGCCGGTAGGTGGCTGCCTCTGTGCCCCTCGGCAGGTGTCTCCTTCCTCCGAGCCTCAGGACCTGTCAGCCGGCAGTGTCTCACTCGGGCGGTTGCAGAGGCAGTCTTCCCAGGGAGGCCAAAGGGGACCCCGGGGGTGAGGAGTAGAAGTATTTCCGGCCCCCTGGGCAGCAGGGCAGGGCAGCCCGAGAGATGGGAGCGTGCAGGCAGGCAGCCTAGGGCCGGGGCTGGGTTCTTCCAGCTGCGCCAGGGTGTGCATGGTGCTTCGGCCAGGGCTGGGGCCCAGCACAGGTGCCTCCCAGAGCCTCCTGCCCCCTGGCCCTGGGCTTTGGGTTTTCCTAAGTAAATGTTATATTAGCCCACTCCGCATCAAGCCTGGACTTTGTTTTTATTCTTTATTTTGTTATCAACTTTTGGTGCCGCTGGGAATCAAACCCAGGGTCTCACACATGTGAGGCAGATGCTTTACCACTGAGCTGTATCTCCAGGCCAATTTTCTTAGCAACTTTTTTTTTTTTTTTTTGGTTTTTTGAGACAGGATCTCAGTTCAGTTTGGCTTTGAACTCACTGTATAGTCCAGGCTGGCCTCGAACTCACAGAAATCCTCCTAACTCAGCCTCCTGTGCTGAGATTACAGGTGTGTGCCACTAGGCCCAGTTTTGTGATTGACCTTTAATGTTACAAGTAACATTAAATGGGGGCTGGGAATGTAGCTCAGTGGTGCTGCGCCTGTCTGGCAAGCGCAAGGTCCTGAGTTTGATCCCTGGTACTGAAAAAAAACAAGAAACAAGGAATGAATAAATACATTCAGGAGTCAAGAGGCAGCCCTATGATATTATGCGCACCAAGCAGGAACGAGGCCCTGGGCTCCAACCCCAGGGCTGCACAATAAATACATAAACTCATACTTCATATTTGACCACTTTGAAACTCATCAAATTTGTTACTCGATGCATTTTGACGCGGAAATTTTGTCTGGTACTGGTCATTTGGCGCTTGATGTGCAAGCCAGACCCTGGTGCCGATTGCCTTATGACCAGCCACCCTTTCCAGACAAACAGTTGGTTTGGTACCTGTGGTTTTCGGTCCTCGCTGAGCCTCCCAGAACCAGTTACAGATGAGCGGCCAGGTACCGCTGTAGGTGAACAGGTGCGTACTTGTACGTGGTCATCTCGTTAGTCACACGCAGCCCTTCACTCTCTCTCGGGCGCTTTTCGCTTACTCCTTCCCCGAGATTCCCACATTGCCCATGATCTGCTCTGTGATTTGGGTCCCGCCTGGTAGGGCAGCAGCAGCAGCAGCAGCAGGGCAGGGGCAGTGAGAGAGAAGAGAGGGGCGAGGAGCCAGCCCGGCCTCAGGGTCGGGAGAACCCTGCTCAGATCAGAGCTCCCAAGGGTGCCCAGGGCTGGAGGAGCCCAGAGGTGTGGGTGCTTCTGCACCTGACTGCACGGGGGACCCAGAAGCCCGTCAGCACACGCCTGAGGTGGGATGGGAAGAAAAGCCACTGTGGCTCTGGCCAGGCCAGGACGCAGCGGAGACCCTACTTCCTGTGTATCCCCAAAGCCCTCCACTGTAGGGAGACTGAGGCCACAAGAGTGGTCTGGGTCCTGTTGCCTCCAGCTTGCAGCTCTCTGCTGTGCCTTCTGTTCTGTGGGGAGCCCAGGAGGAGGAGGGTGGCACAGCAAGAAAGCCGGGCCTGGGCCAGGGATTTAGCTCAGTGGTTTCGCTGCCTGCTGCGCAAGCAAGTGCAGGGACTGGAGTTTGATCCTGGTATCATAAAAAAAAAAAAAAAGCAGCAAGAAAGCCGGTCCTGCCCTCCCCTCAGGCAAGACAGCCTGTCCTGCAGCGGCAGCGCCTTTCTGACCGGCCTGCGTTGTTGTCTGGCACCCTCTAGTGGAAGAAAAGGTGAAGGAGCAGTTGGAGGCCGCCAAGCCTGAGCCCGTCATTGAGGAAGTGGTGAGGTCCTTCCCGTCCCTCCTCCTGCTGTTCTTCCTCCCATTCTTCCCTCTGTCCCGTCTCCCCATGTCCCCGGGGCCCCTCCATCCTGATGCGCATCTCCTTCCCCCAGGACCTGGCCAACCTGGCACCCCGGAAGCCCGATTGGTGAGTGTTGCTGCAGCCAGGTGCACATGCTGGGGGCCTTGGTGCCCGACACAGGGAGGCAAGGCCGTGGTGAGCAGTGGGAACCCTCCATCCCAGGGAGACCAGACGAGGGAGGGGCAGCCACCACTTGGCCCTGCTTCCCTCTGACCCCCGATTTTCTGCAGTGCAGGGTGCCCATCTTAAGGCCCCCCTGGTCCACAGGGCTGCTCCCACTGGGCTGAGGGGGAGGGGAGGAAGGCGCTGGGGCTGGGGCTTGGGGCTGAGCATACCCTGGGCTTTATCCCTCTCCCCTGTGATTCTGAGATGGAGAACAGCACCAGCTTCGGCACTAATTAAGGAAGAAAAGCTGCGGGCGTGTGTGTCCCAGGAGGCCCAGAGCCTGTGAGACAGGCTGTTTCAGGTGGGGTGGCCAGGGCAAGTCACTTCTGTCGGTGAGCAAGGGACCAGGCCAGGAGGATGCCTGAGCACTCCTTGGCACCGTCCCCCACCCTGGGCGGGGGTGCTGTCCCCATTGCCTCAGTGGACTGGGTTGCAGAGATGAGGGTCACTAGTGTGGCCACCAGGGGGCGCAGATGCCCCCAAGCCGTCACCCCCCTCCACCTGCAGGGACCTCAAGAGAGATGTGGCCAAGAAGCTGGAGAAGCTGGAGAAGCGGACACAGCGGGCCATCGCCGAGCTGATCCGTAAGTGCGGCTGGCAGGCCGGGGTCCGGCCCTCTGGGTGGTGGCCCAAGCACAGGGCCCTTCTCCACCTCCTGTCTGCCCCCTCCCAGGTGAAAGGCTGAAGGGCCAGGAGGACAGCCTGGCCTCTGCTGTGGACGCCAGTGCTGAGCAGGAGGCCTGTGACTCCGACTGAGTGGCTGCTGCCCCTCTGCCTGCTGGGCGGAGTAGATGGCCTCGGCAGTGGGGCCATGCCAGTGTCACCCTAGGTCTTCCTGGACAACTGCAGCAGCCCTGGTGGGGCTGAGCCCCATGGCGGGGTGAGGACAGTTCCTGTCCCCAGGGTCCCTGCCACCCTGAGTGAGCACCCGTGCCTGTACATACGTCTGTGTGCTGAACTCCAGTGTCAGAAGTGGAGACAAGTAAACCCTGTGTGCAGCAGAAACCTGTGAGGTGTGTCCTGGGTGCAGTGTGTTTGGCTTCAAGACAGGGAGGCTGTGGCGGCGTTGGAGGCGAACAACTCAGGGGATGGCAGGAGGGGTGGGAGAGCCTGGGGCTGGCCTGGATCCAAGTTGCAGCGCAGTGGTGGACATCTCAAAGCACTGGGCGGCAGAGACAGGGTCTGGAGTTGCCTTAGGGCCTCCCACGGGCCTCGGCCTTGCCTAGTGTCCCATCCCAGTCCTCATGGACCCCCACACAGATGAGAAGGAAGGAGGAGACTGGGCCCTGCAGATCTCCTGGGGACCACTCCAGACTTGAGGGCCCCCTCCCCCGCCCCCAGCAGCCCCTCTCCCTGCCCAATGGACAGAGCCCTGGCCCATCTGCTAGAGGCTGACACGTGGGAGCTTTCAGGTATGGTCCGGCCCTGGCCAGGATCCTGGCTTGAGGACTCAGAGCGCCTCTGGGGGCTGACCAGAGTGACTCCTGGCTGCACTGGTCCCATGACCCCTGGAGTTCTTGTGTCTTTCAGGATGCTGCACATGAGAGTGTCCCTTAGGGTTCCTGTGCGCCTCTTGCCCAAAGCCACCCAGTGTGCTCTGCCTGGAAACTCGGTGGTGCAGCTCTGGCAGAGTGGGTGTGCACACGCAGACAATGATCAAACCCTGCAACTTAAAATCCTGCAGCTGCTCTCATGAGAAGCAGGAGCTGCAGCTTTGATTGAGGGCCAGGTGCTAGCTCCCTCCCTGAGCCGTGGCACGAGCCAGGACTGGTCTCCACAAGGAACAGGGACCACACCTGCCCACGGTGTCGGCGGCAGAGCTGCCTCCCTTTCTAAGGATGAAAGGCTGCAAGGGTTCCCTACACATCCTGGCGGCATTGGATGCACGGCTGTGGCTGTGAATGGACTCAGACACAGGGCGACCAGGAACCAGAGCGGGGTTGTCCCCAGGGCCAGATGCTCCTGAGAGGAGCACTTCTGTGCGTGCGGCAGAGAGACTGCCCTGGGAAGAAAGAGAAAAGCACACACCGCCATGTATGACAGGCTTTCAGGCAGAAATCAGAACACATGAGAAAAGCCAATGCCTTAAACAGTAGCCAGCAGCGCAGCATGGGGCGCATTTACATCCAGAGAGATTGAAATGGCAACCTCCTGTAATGAGCATTAAATGGTTTGTTATCAGAGAGGAAAGAGAGCCTGGCCCCCATAATTCAAGAACAGGAATTAGACATAAGAAAGAATTGACTAGAAATCTTGGAAATGAAGAATACAGTTATTAAACTCAGGGAATGTAAGTAGTACAACTACTATGGAAATCAGTATGGCTATTTCTCAGAAAACTAAAAATATAAATTGCATTAGACCCAGCCTTTCTCTTCTGGGTATCTTCTCAAAAGAGTTAAAGGCATCATATTACAGTGATCCATGCACACCCACATATATAGCAGCACGATTCATAATAGCTAAGTCTTGGAATTGGCCTACATATTCATCAACAGATGGATGGATCAAGAAAATGTATTTACACACAGTGGAGTATTACTCTGCCATGAAGAAGAACAAATGAGTCATTTGTAGGAAAATGGATAATATGTGAAATAAATTAGACACACAAGCTTAATTGCATAGTTTTTCTTACATGAGAAACCCCAAATATAAAGAGCAAATAAAAATATAGATAATAGGGGGCCGGGGATTTTCCTCAGTGGCATCTCCCCTGCCTCACAAGCACAAGGTTGTGAGTTCGATCCCTGAAACAAACAAAATATATATATATATATACAGAGAGAGAGAGTAGGAAGTAGGGATTTTGATCTTTGGCAAATGAGAAGGGGACCAAGCGATGGGGGAGGAGGAAGGGGAGGGAGGGGATGTGAAAGTAAATGTGTCATATACAGTGGGCCCTTGACTTAGGAACTCAGTTTGTTCCCGAGGGCTGGTTGTAACTCCAGTTGGTCAGGCTCCTCTACACAGCCTCCAAGTCTCTCTCCTGCGCACAGGCAGATCTCAGTGTCCTTAGAGAGACACTGGCCCAGGATTTCTCAGTGAAGCCCACACAGGAAAGGATGCTGTAGTGCTCCTTCCGGAACTCTTTAAGGGTTAAATCTGTACCTGAGACCATCTGGGAGCACAAGTGGCTGGAATTAGGGTTGTAACCCAAGTTGTTTGTATGTCAGGCTGGTCATAATGCGAGGGTGCACTGTACATGGACCGTCTCCCCACAAGTAAGGTAACTATTACATACTGCAAACATGTACTAATAAAAAATAAAAATTAGAAATAAATTCACTTGGAGAGTTAAGAACTAGAGTCACAGAATGGATTAATACCTGGGAAGGAAAAGCTGGGGAGGTCCAGAAGGTGGCAGTGAGAGAGGAAGAGGGTGATGAGGTAGACTTTGAGCCCATCATACTGATAGGTGTCCTATCTATATAGGTGCCGGGGCTGAGCCTCCCTTTTTAGAAAATTAAAAATATTGAATAAGTAATGCCAACAAATACTTTTTAAATGCAGCAACAAAGGGGCTGGGGATGTAGCTCAGTGGTAGAGCACCTGCCTAGCAGGCACAAAGCCCTGTTTCAATCCCCAGCATGCAAGAAGCCAAAAGCCAAAGCCAAAAACCCAAAGACCACCCACCACATCTCCACCAATTAGCTGGTAACTTAAAAGCTAGGCTCATGCAAATACTCTCACAAATTCATATGGCTGTCACCAGCCCTTGGAGTTCCAAAGGTAATGCATGTGGAGAGAGAAAAAGAAAATTTGTAAGTTCTTTAATGATTTCAAACTTCAGTCCATTTCATACCATAATCTGTAAGTCTTCTCTCCATAATGTGAATAAACACAGCAAGAATCTGGCAAGAAAGTCAAGAATCCTTGGGCAGAAATGTCACAGAAGTAGCTGGATGCCCAAGCCCAGCTTTGACAAACCAGGTGAAACAGAACTGGCTTTTGGGGTCTTCAGTGTCTAGGGTCAGGACAACCCAAACCTGTGCAAAACTGGGGGCCCAGTATGAGCCCTCCATAAAGCTGGGGCGGGGGGTGCTCCAAGGGCTTGCGAGTCTGTGAGCCTTGCCACTTCCTGGAGGAAAAGAAGGCCTTCCTTGGTCTGGGGGCATGCGCACGAGAAGGCTGGGGCCAGGGATTTAGTGTTCCCAGGATGTGGTGACCTCAGGCGCCTGATGGAAACGCAGGTCCCACACGGACAGACTTACTCATCCGGGTCCCCAAGGAATTCACACTGGTATTCAAGAAAAATGAGCAGTTGCCTAGGTGCGCAGACAGCAGCAGAAGCTGGGGTGCAGCTCAGTGGCAGAGCGCTTGCCTAGTGTGTGCGAGTCCTGAGTTCCATCCCAGCACCAGAAAAACAAAAACCCCACCAAGCTGAGAACATAAATAACGTGGTAAGCTGGGCATGGTGGCGCATGCCTGTAACCTTAGCACTCAGGAGGCTGAGGCAGGAGGATTGTGAGTTAGATCAAGGCCAGCCTGGACTACATCATGAGAACCTGTCTCGAAAAACAAAATAAGCAAAACAGACTCAGACTTACAAAGACTTCACACACTAGAGTTATCAGTTACAGAATTTTTAAATGTTTTAAAAGCTTTTTGCTTTTGTGGTACTGAGGATTGAATGAACTCAGGGTTTTTGCACTGAGCTGCAACCTCAGCCCTTTTTTAGCTTTTTTTTTTTTTTTTCCTTAAATTATTTTATTGGTACATTTTAGGTATACACTACATTTACATTTATCCTTGGGTGCTTGTACCCGTACATGATGCATCTTGGTTCTTACTTTTTCCCCATTACCTGTGCGCCCTTCACCCTTCCCCCCTTCCCTATTTACTTAGACTTTGTTTCCATTTTTTTCTTTTCTCATGATTTTTCCTTTCTGTTCTTTCCTTTCTCCTTCCCCTCCCACTTTCCCTACCCCTTTGGACCTTTTCTTCCTATTTCAGATTATCAGTTATTCATTTTAAATGTTTTAATCCTTATTTATACTTTGTTTCTCACACTAGAGATACTATTTGATATCTTTTTTTTCTGGTACCGGGGATCGAACTCAGGTCCTTGTACTTGCACAGCAGGTGGCAAAACCACCGAACTAAATTCCCTGCCCCTTACTATTCGATATTTACACATCCTTTTTTTTTTTTTTGGTACCGGGGATCAAACTTGGGACCTTGCGCTTGTGAGGCAGGCAGTGGAACCACAGAACCAAATCCCCGGCCCCATCCTTTTTAAACTTTTTCTTTTGAAACAGGGACTTGCTAAGTCACTAAGTTGCCTGGGCTGGGGTCCATCTTGTGATCCTCCTGCCTCAGCCTCCCAGGGTGCTAGGATTACAGGCATGCCTGGCTATTGTGCACGTTTTGTATGTTTATTCTAACTCAAGAAGCAAATTTAATTAAAGTTCTTTCACACCTTGTATCAGTCATCAGTTGCTGCATACAAATTACCACAAAACCCAGGGGCTTAAAATAAATGATTCTTATGTCACAGTTTCTGTGGGTCAGGAATCAGGAAGTGGCCTCTCTGGGTGGTCCTAGTATTACAGACAGCTGAGTTAGGTAGAGGTATCCTAGGCAGTCAGACAGGGCTGGGCCTCGAGGGCCTCTGTGCAGAGGATAAGAACACACCGCAGTTGTGGCTGGAGGCACATCTGTTGGAGGCCAGGCCTCAAGGTAAAGACGGAATGACCAGGCCTGCATGCCTCCTTAATAAGGATAAGATAAGTGGTATCACCTGGCCCAAGAAAGTCTAGATAGACGTCAGTCACCCACGTGGGTGACCAGGACCTCCTGATCCATCCCTTCCTAAAATGGTCGTTGTTCCTTCCATGTTCACTCGCTACATGGCCAACTTCCCCACTGGATCAGTATTACCTAAGCGGCTATACTTGTATTCTTACTCGTTAATCATAGTTTGAGCCCACGTTGTATGCACATCGTGATTTTTGTACCTACTTCGTGATTTTACTCTATAAAACTTCCTTTGGGAAGTGGGCTCGTG